ATGTTTCACACAACGTTGATTTTTTTGGAACCAATTAACATCGTTGTGTGAGGCACCACTGTATATCTTTTCATGTGACAATACTGAAGAAATGACACTTGGCTACAATGTAAAGCAGTGAGTTTGTATAACAGTGTAAATGTGCTATCATTAAATAAGTAAGTGCTGTCCCCTCAAAATAATGCAAAACACAGCCATTAATGTCTAAACCGCTGGCAACAAAAGTAAGTAAGTAAGTGCTTCTAATTTCAGTATTATGATCTTATTTGAACAAGCCGAATTTAGGTGGGGAAGATCCACCACCTTGCAAGTAAATGCTCCTCCCCTAAAGGCGGTGTCCTATATGCAGCCTTTATAGACTTTAAATCTGCATTTGACTTCTTACCAAGAGAAAGCCTGTGGTCTAAATTCAAGACGACAAGTATTGATAAATGGCTTCTCCTGTTGATGCGGTGACTTCATGAAAATACACATTTGCGTGTTTTATGCAACTCAGCTGGGATCTTATCCAACCAAGTCTCTGTGCTTAATGGAGTGAGACAAGGATGCTTACTAGCCCCCAATTCGTTTAAATTCTATATTAATGGCTTCGTTGGGAACTTAAGTAACTCCAAATTTCATCAACCTAAGCTTGCTTTTCACCCAATTTTGATACTACTTTATGCTGATGATGCAGTTTTATTGTCAACAACATATGTAGGCTTTTTAGAAGACTTTTGAGAACCTTCTACTGCAATGAAGAACAACCAATAATTAACTATGCCAAAACCAAGATTGTGATTGTTAGTAGAAGGAGAATAAAGCATAAATGGTCTCTAAATGGACATCCTATAGAGCAAGTATCATGCTACAAATATCTTGGCATAGTCTTCCATTCATCTGGATCCTGGCTTATGCATGTAAATCATACAGTAATGAGTGCCCAGAACAATACCGTACAGTAGTACCAACTAAATGTTTCCATACTGATAAGGGTAAACATGTTCCATCAGCGATACAAGTTTCTAAGGCCAGGATTATTTCACAAATGCTTTATGGCTCTCAATTGTTTGCCTTCACGAACTTACGACCTCTGGAGATTGTTCAGACCAAATTTGCAAGAGCCATCCTGGGAATTCCACCTTGTACTTCTAATGTGCCTCTTCACTTAGAGGTTGGGTTAGTATCCATTAAAGTGTGGGCCAAAGTCCTTATGGTAAAGTACTGGCTTAAACTTATTTTTTCATTGGAAGGCTTGGCCCTGCTGATGTTACTAGATACTTTTCAGTTGGATTGGAAGAAGACTATAACTGCAGAGATATCGAAAATTAGCTTTTCTCCCAGTACACTTATAGCAATGTTTTTCATGGTGAAGACGGTGAAGTTAGGGGTCTGGGATATAGAATTACAAGACCATGTTGGCCAGCGGGGAAATCTTTCTTAAGAAATCTGCTTTTATCACCTCCTCGTATTTAGTAATGTCATCTAAAGCCACAAGGGCTTTTATACTAGCCATATTTAATGTATTACCTTCTAAGTTTCTGGAGTGAGGATTATTTAATGCATTACCTTCTAAGTTTCTGGAGTGAGGATTTCAAAGTTTGCCTCTAACAGACTGTATCTGCCCTTATAATAGTGACAAAGTCAAAACAGTCGGGCATGTTCTCTTATATTGTATTTGCTATCAGGATTTACATATGGAGCATTTACTTCCTATTATCTGTAAATCTCCTGGGAGATCAGAGGAGTATTATGCACAGTTGCTACCATACTCTCTGACAATACCCCTTATATTACAAGACAAGTGGCCAAATTCAGTGCTGCAGCAATAGCTATTCGCAACCAGAGGTTTGGGTTGCAATCTAAGATGGACAATATAATGCTTCTATAACATAACACTGGCCGAGGTTTCACCTTTTTTAAAGATATATAGTCAGCTTAGCTGATTATGATGTTATGAATTTGAAAGAAGGGGTTGATTTATCATGATTATTCTTCTTAGTTTTATGAAACTGCAACTGTATGAATTTATTTTATATTGTTCTGGTCTTGATCTTTGACCGTAATAAAGTTAATGAAAAAAAAACTGTAACTATGCTATAAATTAAACCAGCAGCCAAAGGTATGAATGACTGAACAGCACTCTACTGTCTCTCTTCTTCCTCAGACATGCAGACAGCACTCCAACTGTATCATCTTGGAAAATGCATAGTTAGAAATCAATCTTTATTTCAGCTGTAAATAAGCTGAAATCTCAGACATGTAAGGATCCTTCAAATTAGCATTGGAAGACTGCTCAATTCCAACCACTACCCAAAATAGAATACTATCTCTCTAAATACTCTGGAGATGGCTATGCAACCTGACATTTTGAAAAAAATAATAATACGAAGGCTGGAATGTATGGCTTGCTTTTCTAATAGCAGCTCAGCCAAATGCTTGGAAAGTCTCATCTCAAAAGCCATGTGATTTGTTAACAGACCAAGACTCTTATCCATTTTACAAAAATTAAGAGTTATATTAAATTTCTACATCAGTTCTTTTGAAACAGCTTTTTGGGAAATCTCGGAGAGTCCTCAGAATCTTACTTGGGTACAACCCAAGCAACACTAGACAAGCTTCCCTGAAACTCCCCTTATCCTTCATGGTTTATCTTTCTCCAATATAGGGGAGAACTGGCTATTTTCTAGGCTGGGCTTTCAGGTCACTCATGCAAATGAAAACCTGTCCAGTGTCCACCTACACTCACTGTGAACCTTCTGGGATGCATAGGGCTACTGTTGCAAATTGCAGACATTTCTTTTTAAATGATTACAGTCGTGCCCCGCTGGATGATTACTCCGCTCTACGACGAATCCGCATTACGTTGACGTTTTTGCTATCGCTTTTGCGGTCGCAAAACAATGGTTTAAATGGGGGAATTTCGCTTAGCGATGATCAGTTCCCTGCTTCGGGAACCGATTTTCGCTTTACGGCGATTAGCAAACAGCTGACCATCGGGTTTCAAAATGGCTGCCGGCTGAAGAAAATGGCCCCCCGCTGTTTTCTAGGACGGATTCCTCACTTTACAGGCACCGAAAATGGCCGCTGTATAGAGGATCTTCGCTGGACGGTGAGTTTTTCAGCCCATTGGAATGCATTGAACAGACTGATTTGTTCCTAAAGTTAAAATACCATAAATGTATAATTAAGAGGCCCAAAAGAACAAAACATTCCATCTAATATTTACCTGATAACTTCTTTACTTGGCTTTTTGGATTTCTTGGTAGTCTCTACATGCACAGGAACAACTTCGGGCACAGGTTCCTCAACAGCTGGGTCTTCATCGCCCAAAAGAGCTGCCTGCTGAGAAAAATCCATGTCCTGCATAAACGACATGCTGCGCTTCAAAGCTAACAGCCGTTCCTAGAATTAGAAAGGACAGAGCGGCAGGGACTTTACACCTTTCCCTCATAGCCAAAATGCTATGATGATGGGATGGGATGGGAATGGCCATGGCTTTGCACCTAAAAGCTACATCGTCGATGATGATGCAACATGATTCAGTCATGACAGCATGACACCAGAATATCTGCAGCCTATCTAGGAAAAGAAAATCTATACATGCAAATGGCCACCTACCTGTACATGAAACTTACCATAATCTTCATGTAGGCCATATTAACAGCAGTAGCTTTTTTTAAAAAAAGAATCTATAATGTCGCCTGCTTAAAAATTGATATTTAGCAAATCTTTTCCTTGAAGTACTCCTTTCACATGTAATTATTCCCATTATATTTTCTTTTCACTCTGAAAAAATTAGGATGATTTGGGGAAGAACTATTTTGTATTGTTCTAGGAGGGAATTTATGGGGATCCTTGCACTATATTTTGTAAAATCATAAAATAACTGTGTACTGAACAATGTGTAACATCTAAGAAAAATTGTTGACACATTATCCATCTTTCTAGAGAGATCATAAATAAAAGTGAAAGCAAATATACTGAATATTTTCAGAATGCATTTGGAAAAAAAAACCTTACAAAAACATTTATGAGAATTAAACTAAGCAAAAAATAACATGGCAAAGTTTGTTTCCTGACCAAACACTTCTCCACATATATACCAACTCATAACCAAATTTTACAGCAAGGCTGTTCCCTCAAAAGGAGAACATTTTATAATGGAAGTGCCAATGAGTCCTCCAATATAAGTAGTGCTACAAGAATGGCATCCTTTTGGAGGAGCAGAGATGGAGTTGTTGGGAAAAGATGTACCTTCCTCAGAATTCAAGCTGTTGCTTTAAGCAGCATAGTTCTAGCATTAAAGATTGTAATTGGAAGTTTGAAAGAATGTGGACAATGGTGAATGTCAAGGCCAGTGGAGTGGTTGAATGAGATTTCACTGATCTGTACAGCTAGTTCTTTCTTTCCATACCTAGGAGAAGCAGGATACATTGTACAAGTAAGAAAAATCCGGTAGCTGTGTTTAATTTACATTAAACATATTTTTGCCCTTTCTGACACAAAAGCCAGAGTTTAATTGTTGACTCATGCTTAACTGACATGGTGTAAGATGCAGTGGGAAACTGCTACTCAGTAATGAGGTGCTGGTAGAGTTCCTGGGCACATGGCCCAGACATTCAACCATTCCTTCATTAATGAGTGGCAATTTACTACCACAGCATTTGCCATTTTGCTCAGGAAGCACCAATCATCAATTGAACTATGGCTAGAGTTTATTCTTTAGTACAAGATAGAAGCAACTTGAATATACTAGCCGTAATAGTCACGATTACAACTAAAGACAAATGGATGAAATAATGTGTTACTACGGCCACTACATTATTTTAGAGCACAATTTTGATTTTATCGTATTCTCCTTCATAGCTGCCTTACTTTGCTCATCATCTTAAAGCCTGTATGGAGGATCTTCTTGGCAAGCTTGTAATACACAGTGTCTGGTCTGTTGTATGTCATTGCATTGTCACACATCAGCTTAAAATCTGCCTGGAAGACAGAAACATAAACATTCTCAGGTTTTCAGAAGCTCTTTGTAGATGAAATGTGCAAGTCACAGCAACCATTTTAGAATGTTAGAAGGCAAGCATAGCTGCTGAAGCATTTCACAGATATCCTTTGAAAATTCCAGGGGGTACACTCTTTATGTCACACTACACAAGCAGTTTACCTCTCCCAGTATCTTTAGGCTAGATTGTCACAGAATACAGACTAATCCACCTCAGAGTGCAGGGGGTGGGAGTGTAGATCCTTCTATAGAGAAAACCAGCATGTTGCAAATCTAAGATCTATTTTAATTGTTGCAAGCCGCCCAGAGACCTTTGGGTAGAGTGGGTGGCATATAATTAATTAATTAAATAAAAGGTCATACAAGTCATAACATAGCTTGAACTGGTTTACCATCACACCAGCTGTTTGAACAAATAAGATCAGAATACTGAAATTAGAAGCACTTAAATTTTATACCAACTATAGCAAGACTGAACAATATATAATTTACCCAACTGTGCATATCCTATCAACAACCTATTGTGGTCTTCCAGTCATTAAGAAATTTTGTAGCTGCATGAAGAGAACAAAACAGGAGACTCACTGAGTCTCTGTGTACACCATTATACACAGAAGGAAAGGCAGGAATTAACAGGGGCGGGTACATACAAATACGTTTTATCATGCAAAACTACATTTTGAATACAAATTCTTTTTTTCAGAGACAGCTTCAATCAGCTTGAGTATCTGGCCTCTAAAACCTACTGCAAAATAGTTCAATGCTTTGCAACCCATAATTTTCCAACCATAAGGAGGCAGTAAAACCTGGGTTTTATTTTCCGAGTTCTTGGTGTTATCATCAGATAAGCTAATTGTTTCTCTTAGTAAGTTGCACAGCATGGAGACCTGTACCATACAAAAACAAAGTTCAAAGCACACAAGGCTTCCATCCTCATTTCTTTTTTATGAAGGTCCTGTAGGCAAAAAGACCCCCCATGGCTCACATAGTCCTATTTAATGAATGAAAGGGAAAACCTGAGGATGATTCACACAGGTCTAGATACAGGTTTGCCATGGGTACTTATAGCAGAAGCCAACAATAATTCTATTCTCTAGCATATGGGGAACACATTTTTATACTGTACAACTCACTGAACTATGATATACAGTGTAAACAGGTGATGGACACCTGTTTAAAAAAAGATGGGGTGGGAGAAGAAAAGCTAACATCTCGAGCAGCTCGAGCTTTCACGCTGGAATAACAAAATAGCTGCCTAGTGCCTATGGAATGCACAAATATGCAGTGGGAATGCACAGGTATCATAACCACTATACTGTATGCAAAGGTTAGCAATCCACACTAGTGCTATTAAAAGTTGCTAAAAACTCTATTAATTCACCTTGAATTCTGTTACTGACTTGTACTCATTTGCTGCAATTTTTTCTTTCATTGTACCAAAATCCATAGGATGTTTTATTATCATGGAATATCCAGGAGCAATGGCATCTGTGACCGGAAAGGCGAAAAACCCATGAGGATCTTTCCTAAAAAATGGAAGCACATATATTTAGCATTATATATTCTTAAATTTTATACGCTGCTAAACATGAAAAAAAGTGGTGTACAGCATAAAGCATAATAACTCAGAATAATATGAAAGTTTGTTCTAATACATATTTTTTTAAAAAAATAGTAATAGCTAGACCGATATTTCAAGGAAGGATTGTCTAAACAAATAGGTCTTTATCAAGTTTCCAAAAATCTTTAACAAGGATACTTTCCATTAAGAAGGAGGGGATTTTACAGGGCAGGTGCTGAAATGTTAAATGCTCTGCTTCTGGTGATCATGGGACAGACAATGTCAACCTGAAGTACTAGTAAGAGCCAGTTTGGTGTAGTGGTTGGAATTCTGACTAGTACTCTGAAGATCTGGATTAAAAAACTCATTTAGCCACGAAATTCACTGAGTGATCTTAGGAGAGGAAAAATAAATATGTAATAAACAAATATATGATAATAAAGCATTGCCTTTGATTACCATAGTGACAAGGCAGGGACATACAAGGAAAAGCTGAAATACTCTGTTCCCAAGTTCTTTATGGCTTATTATATTAACAATAAAAACTGGGAGCAATCTGGTTCCTCTTTCAGAAAAGGTGTACTGGAATGATAGCTTGCTCTGTTCAACAGCCTAGCCATTTCATTTTGTACTAGCTGCCTTTCAAAATATCTTTCATTCCGAAAAGGAATAAAGAATAAAATAAAAAATAAAGTAATAAAAAAGGAAAAAAAGATAAAATAGATAAAATTATAAGGTAATACATGGATCATCCCAAATTTAGAACCAATGTTCAATAACAATAAAATAAAACATCCAGGGAAGATTTGCATCAAAGAGTTTTAACTATAATTTTATACATAAGAGAGACACACATGTGAATTAACAGGTCTGCTGCTGTTCCATCTCAACCAAACCTAGGTGGTAACAGAAAAGAAAATCAAACTGAAATAATTGCCTGAAATCATAAAAGCCGCTTAAGAGACACTTAAGAAAACCGAGTATAGCATATGTCTACAGATGTTTGTATAATATGTAGCCTTACCTCTGTAACTGGCGAAGAAAATGTTCCAATAATTGTTGGATAGGTGTGCTCTCATTTTCTGCTATAATTCAACATAAAAAAGGCAAATGATACCTTTGATAATACCTATCACCTGTACATGCAAACTATAAAGGCATGATGTCTACATATTGTTGTTAACATTGATCCTGTTTCTGTAAATACAGTAGAACCTTAATATAGCTATTTTGCAGTTGTCCTAAAAAGAGAATATTTATTTTGTTATTAAGAATAGAACAACATCATTTTATCTTACAGATAAAACATCCTGCAAACAAGGAATAGGGATTGAGGGCACAGAAAGGTATGAAGAACTCCCTTCACTTTCCATGAACATTTTCTTTTAAATGGTGAACAGAATTTATCACAGTATTATGGCAGGAAAAATCTGATTAAAATCTCACTGGTTAACCAAGTGTCAGTATATTGCAAATATACCTAATCTTGATTACTCACCAGGCTGAGTTCTACAAGCTCGGACTGGCCGATCTGAGGGTGGCTCAACTTCTACTTTCTTTCCAGGATCAAAGTCATCCATTTCACCTTCAGTATCACACTGCTCCTTTTCTCTTTTTCTTTTCTTCTCTTCCTGGTACCAAAAAGCAGAGATACAGAAAAGATTGCGAACATAGCACTTTCAGATAAAAATATAACCATACAAGATAAGCTCTTAGTTAAATGTCTTTAAATATGGAAAGGGAGAGATTTTTTCCCCCCAGTAAATAAATTTTAAAAAGGTATTTATGTCTCCAGCAAAATGCATAGCCCATTTTAAAACAATAAAAACAGCTTTTTGTCAACACAATTTAATTCCACTATTTTAAGGTATTTGATATTAAGATGGATGGATAGATTATTGTAAAAGACTAGCAGGACTGGCAAAAAGGGGAGGTATATATCCAACATTAGATTTAATGGGATTATAAAGAAGAAAATGTTAAGGGTGATTAGACATGGGCGGTATATAAATCTAATAAACAAACAAACAAACAAATAAACTATACAATGGCCTAATCTTGATTACGGTGGCATTAGAGGCAGGTTTTTCACTCTCAAAGGAGATCTGCCTGGCTCCATCATTATCTGTTTTCTTACAAGACAACAAGAGCTGTCTTATTTCAACAGTTGTTTTCCTCGTAAGTAGTTTATAAATTACTGCAGAGTGAAGCACACTCTGGCTTCATGAATTAGCCAGGAGACTAAAGGCCCCCTGCTTGCAGGGGCTTTTGAATGCATATGTGTGTATGTACACTCTTATAATTTATTGTAAGTCTTGAATAAACAAATTTCTTGTAAGCAAGGGCCTTGATTGTTATCATCTTACTCCAACGCACAATTCATACAGTCAAATTTTGAGCATTTTTACATGATGGAGCATTGTACAAAAGGGCTGCAAAATTAATACCATCTGATTGCCCAGACACACAAAAAACTGATTGCAACACGTGAAAGCACATTACTAATTAAGGCTGCCAATATAGAAAACATACTTCATTTTCAAAAAGAAATTACAAATAGCCCCCAATTCAAAATATTGTGGTTGCTCATATTTGTATTAACTAATTAATCAAGTAAATCACCATGTGACTAGTTGTGACAAAAAGTTTATCTTGTTTTTAGATGGTGCTTGCATGTCTCTCCTTGTGCTGTTCTTGAAAGGATGTTCCTCGCTATGTGAGAGAAATCCCTCTTAAGATGGTCCTTGCTATATGCAAGTTTTATAAATATTTTTGCTTTTTAAAACCTTTAACGTGATTTATGCATTAGAAATTAAAGAAACTGAGCAAAAATCTTTATAATTGATCAATCAAAGCTTGTAGGCCTATAGTGCATTCTGGACTCTTAAAATGCTCGCAATCTGCTTTAGCATCAAGCTATTTGTAAATTGTTTAACCTGTACAGATTTTTTAAAAAGAATGGAAATTTCAAAACTTTTTTTTACAAAATAACCTTTAAAGATTTGACTTCAAATATATGAGAAAATTAGCAATTCAATAAGACAGAGTAATACATTGCTCCACTGTCATTTACCTTTCTCTTCCGTCTTTCCTCCTCATCCAGATGTTTTTCTTTCTCTTTATCAGATTTCTTCTTCTTCTTTTTCTTCTTTTCTTTATGTCGCTCTCTCTCATGGTCTGATCTGTCATCATAATAACTGGAATCATGTCCTGATCCTGAAAGTTCTGTCACTTCGCTACCTCCAACTTTTAACACCAGTTTCAATGGTTTTTCCAAGGGTTTATCCACGTAATCTAATTTAAAAAGAAGAAGACGACACTCAGCATTAATGTTAGTCATGCAAGTTGGTATCTCTGGTTTCTCTTCAGATCATATAAATCTTTCACTTTCTAGCAAAACTCTGTAACTCATCTCAAAAGTCAGTTTCCCAATTTGAGAACTGCAAAGTAGTCAATTTTAACAAAAACGTTAGAAAGAGGATGCTGGGAATTAAAGACCAGTCAGATTAACATTTGCTCTAGGATTCAGTGAAAAACATTCTAGTCATCAAACATACAGAAAGACTAGTGTTTCTAAGGCAGAACCAACACAAATTCCATAAAGGGCAAATCCTATGTTGCTAACTCTATACAATTCTTTAAAGGTGTCTACAACCATATGGATGGGATTGAGCCAGTGGATAGTGTATACTTGAATTATGGTTTCTGACAGACTTACTAAAAGCTTCTAGAAGTCAGTGGATAAGAAGTCAACCATGAGGCTCTTCGATTATTTGGTCTCTGCGATGTTTTTCCTAGGCTATGCTATATAACTGACACCCCAACCTACCCCCTTGTCGTCCCCCTACTAAAGGCTTCAGCACGCTCGAGTACTTCTACACATTCTTTTTCCTTATGTATGCAACTGAAACCCAGCAGCACGACAACACCTGTAAAACGAATCGTTATTATACATGTAGGTACATTTTCCAAAAAGGAGGCAGAAAGGGAGCCACAAGTGAGTTAAGACTCGAAGGGCAGGAGGTGCAACCCAGGGTCGTTCTCTGCCGATCTGCCTCATTCACCCCATTCAGGAGGAGGAGGAGGACGTGCCGCGTCCAAGGCGCGAAGGAGGGGAGCTTTTTCTTTCGGCCAGGCTCATCTACAGGAACTGCCGGGGGCGGGGAAGAGGCCCTGCCAAAGACAAGCCGGAGTGGGGCGCCCAGGGCCGCCACCGACCCACCCACGGGCGCCTCTGTCCTGAGACACACCCGCAATCGCGGCAGGGTCTGCCCACTCAAATCACGGGTGTGCCGGGCTGGGGGTGGGGGAGACAGTCGCCCTTTGGAAGGTATAGCTTTGCTGCCGCCTTAGACTTTAAGGTTCCTCTGACCGCCCCCCCGCCTCCACCCACCGTCATAAGCAGCTGCGCCGGTTCCGGCGGCGCCGACAGCCGGGGCCGAGGTAGACCTCCATTCTGTCTTTTCCGCCTTGTGCTTCTTGTGTTTCTTCCCCATAATTGCGACGCTCGCGACCACCACCCAGCCTGGCGCCGCCGCCGCCCCCCAGGAAACAGCCCCTCCCCTGGAGGCCGCGGGCAAGGGAGGAAGTGGCGCAGAAGCGCTTCCGGGGCACGGCAAGAAGGTCGTGAGGGCCCGGCAGGAGAAGCGCGGGAAGTTCGATTGCGGAAGAGGCGAGTCGGCGAGAAGGGGGACTCGCGGGTGAGTCGGGGCACGGGAGCCGCAGGGCCTCTCGTTGTGCCCGCCGACCTTTCGGGAAGGCTGGATTAACCCGAAGGGGAGCCCGTTCGCTTTCTCTCGCATTGGCTGGGTGAGGGACATTTATTTACGTGTCTGTATCTGTAAAAGGCAGCTCTCGGCGTTCCCTTCAATTGCGACGACCCCAAGAGGGGGAAAATACCGATGGCGGTGGTCGATGGCGCGAGGTAGCGTGACTCTCCCGTAGCCCCAAGCTAGTGGGCCTGGCTTGGGGCCATGGAAGTGAGGCCAGACCTTGGGGACACACACATTTAGCCCCGACCCGTGAGGCCCCTGAGGATGCTTTTACTTTTTCCCATATCGACACGTCTAAGTTGTTCTCCCTTTGGGAAAAACCGAAGGCTGTTAAGGAATTACGCCGAGGGCGACCGCCTTGGGGCTCCAAGGGGCTTCCCATGCTGAACTCTGTCAAAGGCTTTCTCGTAAGCAACAAGCCAAGCACACACACCGCTTTTATGTCAGAGCATCCCTTCTACATATAGGCAAAACAGTGCTTCTCTTCTGCTTATATACTGCCCCATAGCATTTCAAGAACTCTCTGGGGGGTTTACAAGTTATGCAGGCTACACATTGCCCCCCCCCCCAGCAAGCTGGGTTCTCATTTTACCGACCTCAGAAGGATAGAAGGCTGAGTCAATCTTGAGCCGGCTACCTGGGATTGAACCCCAGGTCATGAGCACAGTTTTGGCTGCAGTACAGCAGTTTAACCACTGAGCCACAAGGCTCAGTGGTTAAACTGAGGAGTATTATAAGAAATAGGATTTTTGTTTTAACATAAATTGAAAAAAACCCAAAGAGGCTTTTGCTTTCATTTTTAGCTTCTTTAGTTGAGAGCCTTTTAAACACAAATGCTTCATATTAACAAAAGGGAAGCAGACAAATTTCCATGTTTCCATCTTCTATTTACCTTTTGTTTTACCTTCACCTGTCAAATCTCTTTGAAAATTATTCATCCAATAACCAAAACATTCAGAAGGGGGAGCAGGAATTTTGAAGCGATAAAAGGGTCTGATTTGACTGGAACCCAGTGGGTATGATCTCCTTTTGTTTCACTCATGTGGGTAAATTTCAGGCACCATCCCTCTTGTACTGTCTGCCTAGCTTGTCTTTGCTCTACTTTGGATCCTTTCAATTTTATATATTTTGTTTCCCTTGTTTAATCGCTGTATGTAGTTTGTCGAAGGCCTATAATTTGGTATTTTGGGGGACGGGGAGAGACTATTTTTAGGTGGTGGTGGTTGGTTGTATTGTTGCCTGATTCTGGAATAGATTGGCTCTCTGTACCCTTTCCTTTTGTTTTTTCAAGTGGTTTTATATGTTCATAAGGGCTTTTGGATGAGTGTCAGATAGAACGCAAATGAGGGGAAATTGAATAAAAAATCCCAAAAGAAGCAGTCTCTTTCGTGTTAAACAAAAAGACCAAAATATGGAAGAAGTGGAGTTTTCATCATGCACATCCCTAATTCTTAGCATCTTTCAATAGTGGGAATTGTTCTTTTCTAAATATGTCTACTGTCACCTTGATATTTTTATGCATAGTGAAAGAATTGTGAAACAACCTTATTTTTCTGGCTTTCTTAATTTTATTCCAGTATAATAATGTATTTCTCTGTATTTTTATTGCTTAGCCAATTGACCCTATTTTGCACCTGTTAAATCACTGTTATAAGATGCATTCGGAGAGGATTTTTCTGCTATCTCAGAAGCTTGACTGTGTGGCTTAGTGAGTTAGGTAGCAGTGCCTCGACTTATGAATGTCTTGATTTGCGACCAATTTGAGTTACGATTAGCTCCAATTGCAAAATTTTGCTTTGACTTGCAACCAACACTTTGAGATACAACCAGAAAAAAGGTGGGGAATTTGAACTGCTTTCCCTGCTTTTGTCCTTCAGTTAACTGTTGGTCAGCGAAGAGACATTTTTGCTTTTTAAAAATTTTGTTTTTTTTTATTTTTGCTTTTTGACTTTCTTTTTTAAAACACAGAACAGAACAGAAAGAGTACTGTACAGGGTATTGCAGCATGGGTTTGGGCTGGATAGGGGGGGTTATGTTTCTGTGCTCTGATGGGACTTGCAGTGTGTAGTTGTAGCATTTTTAGTCCCTGCTGGAATGGTTGTTTTTTTTTTTATTCTGTGGCTCCTAGGGTTTGTGTAATGTACTGTGTGATATGCTGAACAGTACTCATGGCTCCAAAGAAAGAGCAGAGCAGAGGGAAGAAGATCATCTCCATTCAAGTGAAGAAGGACATAATCGAAAAGCATGACCATGGCATGCGTGTGACTGATCTGGCCTCTGAATACAAGATGTCAAAATCAACCATCTCCACTATATTGAAGAAGAAAGATATTTTGAAAGAAATTAATGTGGCAAAAGGGGTCACAATCCTAGCAACATATTGAAGAAGATATTTTGAAAGAAATTGATGTGGCAAAAGGGGTCACAATCCTAGCAAAGAACAGGACACCCCTGATTGAAGAGCTGGAAAAACTTTTACTGGTGTAGATGAATGAGAAACAGCTGAAAGGGGAAAGCATCAGTGAAGCTATGATTTGTGAGAAAGCTAAGAACCTGCACAGTGAGTTAATGCAAAGAAACCCCTCCGGAAGTGCACCGCAAGTATTCAAAGCCAGCAGGGGGTGGTTTCAAAACTTCCAAAAGAGAAGTGGCATCCACAGTGTTATAAGACATGGGGAGGCTGCAAGTTCTGACCATGCCGCTGAAGAAGCCCTCAAGTTGGACTTTGTCAAATTCATCAAGGAAGAAGACCTCCCCCAGCAAGTCTTCAACTGCGATGAGACAAGTGTTTTGTTTAAAATGTGTTTTGTTTAAAATGTGTTTTAGACCCCAAACTCTTCCCCCCCCAATAGTCTTCTCTCTTTCCTCTCTAAAAGCACAAACCTTTGCCTGAGAGGTCTGTGATGGCCTTCTTTCTTTCCTCTTTCCCCCATTTTCCCCTTCCTCCCTCCTTTCTTTCCTGCCCTTTTTTAAACCTTAGAGGTCATCTTAAAAAAAAGGCTCCCCCTAGTGGATAGATTAACCGCTTTTGCATTAGTTCCTATGGGAACGAATGCTTTGAGATACAGCCAGCGCCTTGAGATATAATCAAAAATGGCCGGAATGGATTAATCGTGTTTCAGTGTATTCCTATGGGAAATGCTGCTTTGCATTATGACCAACTTGAGTTACAACCATCATCCTGGAACGAATAAAGTTTGCAACTCAAGGCTTCAGTCAGACATCAGCAGTTAGATGCCCCATTGTACTTCCTAGAAGGACAGCCAACCTATGTACTCCTAGGCAAGCAGCGCAGTCCCACCGCTGCAGTATTGGGGACTTTGATCTGGACTTTGCTTCCTCTTGTATTGCTGTGAGGGTTCGTACTTTGCCTCCCCAATTTTTAACTGAGACTCTGGAGACACTCGCGTTGTAAAATCATAACTAGTTTTTACTGGAATGTGTAGCAATAAATCTTTTTGCCAGAACTCAGCTTCTGCGGTTTCTCTTGTCACCAACGGGTCCGGCAAGGGCATCCAAACTTCTTTGACAAAGGGGTTGCAGCTCAACTCGCCCCAAGGTCCTTTCAAAAATGGGTTACTGTTTTCTAACTCACAAGTCTTTATCTCCGGGTTCAGAAGCGGGGTGGTCTCATCATCTCGAACCTCCATCTCATAGGTGTCCTCCTCTCCTCATAGAGGGGTCCACGGCCCGTTAAGTAGCCCCCTCCTCTGGGCTTCCTCCAAATGCCATACCCAGCATTCTCTCTCTTCTCTTGACACTGCTTCGTTTTCCTCCCTGAGCTGTCTACGGCACTCTCTGGCCTCAGACTCTCCCCAATAGGAAGGACGTTGCAGTAGACCCCTTCTTCGCTGGTAATTGGCTTCCTCTCGAGGAACCCATACCTTTTCCCATTTACCAGTCCAAGGGTCCTCTACCCATATCATCTCCCAACCCCCCAGTATTAAGTCCACCTCTCCTTTTATATCTCCCATTCTCACCTCTACGACAGACCTCCCCCTTTCCTCTTTTCCGCCAATTCACCCTGTCTGGGTGGCCACTGTCATCTTTAACAGTTCCCACTCCAACCCCCGGGTATCAACTCCCCACTGTTTGGTCTCAATGGGTGATGCAGGCGGGTTTGTCTGTGTCTCTTGTTATTTTTTGAGGGAGGATGACACTCCGGCAAGAGCCTTTACACTCTCGCCTCGTGTCTCACAATTGCCTATAACTGTAATGACGTAGTCATAGTGTTGCTATTTCTGCTGACTGAGTGGTAAAGATTTTCCCCCAGTTAATAAAGAATTAAAATTGTTTACTACTTGTTTGAATATTTTAAAGAAGAATGAATATGTTACATGCTGTCAATTCACCTCTGACATATAACAACCCTGATGAACAGTGCATTCTAAAGCCATTAAATAGTAAACAGTGCTAGAATAATGCTCTGGAAATCAGAGGATCACCCTACAATTGCCATTACATTAATTTTTTTTCAATGTACCTTTTCAACTTTTGTTTCCAGAATACTTATTTTGAATCAATATTTTATGTTGGAACATGCCATACTGAGATACAGTGGTGCCCCGCTTTACGATTACCCCACATTACGACGAATCCGCTTCATGACGACGTTTTTGCGATCACAAAACGATGGTCTAAATAGGTTTTTTTCACTTTGCAATGATCGGTTCCCTGTTTCGGGAACCGATTCTTCGCAAAACGATGTTTTTTAAACAGCTGATCGGTGGTTTCTTTCTTTCTTTCTTTCTTTCTTAAAACCTTTATTGGCATTAAAAGGGGATAAAGCAGCAGTAACAATTTATGTCGTAGTATTACAAACCAAAAAGGACGATCGTGAGGGTAAGAGCTGGGAAGGTGATGCAGGGGGAGGTTGGGGGAGGGATTTTGGCTTGGAGACCGCTAATAAAAAATCCGCTACCACGCTAGTGATGGTCGCCGAGTAATCGCTTAAAAGGACGGGAAGGGGGTCAGCTAGGGAAACAAAAAGGGACGACAGGAGGGGTTTGAGAATGTTGTTTCGTAGATGTTGATGAGTTGGGCAGCGGAGTAGTATGTGGTCTAAGGTATCGGGCTCAGATGAGCAAGAGAGACAGAGTCTATTGTTACGTGGAATGTTTGCAAACCTGCCAAAATGAACAGCTGATGGGAAAATGTTTAGTCTTGCTAGCATAAAAGCCCTCCTTTTACTTGGATTAATTAATTTACTGAAATAGTTGGAGGGTCTACCAAGAGAAGGGGAAAGACCGAAGAAGAGAGGGGAACAAATAGGATTTAAATTGGGGAGTAATAGATTAAGTTCCTGTTGCCAGAGTTTAGATTTGATGATTTGATGGGCTCTGTGAAGGTTAGTATCTGAAAGAGATTCGGGGGAGAGGTCCAAGGATGCGAGCTTGGCATCCAGAATACTGAACCACTTAGATGAGAAGGGATCTTTTAGTAGGTCATTGAGTATGGAATCTGGTTGGGTATTGAGGTGCAGTCTAAGCCAGAACTTGAAGGTTAGGGACCAAGCGGTAGTAGAGGGAAGGTGTATGCCTAATTCGAGTATCAATGTGGACAATCTAATTAGGTTTGGGACCCCAAGAATCCTTCTGAGAAAGGAGGCAGCAACTTTATCAAGATCTTGATTAACAGCCTCGATCCAGATTGGGGCACCATATAGCAGCTGGGAGAGGATTTTGATTTGAAATATATGGAGAGCAGCCGGAATGTACTGATTGCCACTGTTGAAGTGGAAACGGGCGATTGCATTTAAATGTGGCATGGCAGACGAAATGGCAGCTTTACGATGGTGAGTCCAGCTGAGTCGGGAGTGGAAGGTGATCCCCAGATATTTGAAAGATTGGACTTGCTGGAATGATAGATTACCAATCTTCCAAGCTGTCGGGGCCCAGGATTTCGAGAAAACCAGAATTTTTGTTTTCTCGGGGTTAATTAATAATTCATTGGAGAAGCAGTATTCTTGGAAAGAGGATAACAGAAGTCGGAGGCCAGGTTTAGTGATAGACAGCAGCACCGCGTCGTCTGCATAAAGAAGAATAGGTACAGGGACACCATTGAGAGAGGGAGGGGAGTTTCCAGGACTAGAAAGAAAAGAGGGGAGATCTGCAAGATATAGGTTGAAGAGGGAAGGGGCAAGTATACAACCTTGGCGGACTCCTTTGTTGATGGGGATTTCGTCAGTCATAGAGCCTGTGCCATCCAGGCGAATCCGGCACGAATTGGAAGAATGGAGATGTTGAATCAGAAAAAGAAGGCGGGGGTCGATCCCCCAGTTGGCCAATTTCTTCCACAGTATGTCCCTATTGATTGAATCAAACGAGGGGAGTTTCCAGAGCTAGAAAGAACGGAAGGCAAATCTGCAAGGAATAGATTGAAAAGTGAAGGGGCAAGTATACACCCTTGGCGGACTCCTTTGTTGATAGGGATTTCGTCGGTCATGGAGCCTGTGCCATCGAGGCGAATCCGGCACGAGTTGGAAGAGTGAAGGCGCTGGATCAGGAAGAGAAGGCGGGGGTCGCTGATCGGTGGTTTCAAAATGGCCACTGGGTAATTTAAATGGCTCCCTGCTGTGTTTAGGGACGGATTTCTCACTATACAGGCACCGAAAGTGGCCGCCATATGGAGGATCTTCGCTGGGCGGTGAGGTTTTAGCCCATTGGAATGCATTGAACGGTTTTCAGTGCATTTCAATGGGCTTTTTATTTTCGTTTTATGATGTTTTCGGTTAACAGGGATTTTCCTGGAACAGATTATCACCGTTAAGCGAGGCACCACTGTATAAGTGAAGTGTATTTCTTGAATGTTTTGCTTTTCAACCTTTTGGATACGATCAAGTGTAGTACAGGCTTCAAGTTGCTATACAAAATTAATTCCCACGGTGCTACCGGTCACATCTGTTTTTTTTAAATGTTCTTATGTATTGTACAACTCATAAAGAAGAAAAAAATGAAAGCCTATCGTTTGATATGTGGCCAGTTACTTTCTTTCCATCACTCTTCTCAGCTCAATGTTCTGTCACCATTGTCTACATGCTTCTCATTGCATTTGCCCTCATGCATTGGGTATTCATGTCAAACTATTGGTATTTTTGTTGTACTGTATAACCATTCTCTTTTTTATAAACAGATTTCTGTAAAATGGATGATGCTGCAAATGGTTTAACACCAACTCTACAAAATGGCTCGGAATCCCTGCAAATACAAGTAGAAGTTCATCAAAAGTTAGACAGGTTGGTTTTGCGCCGTAAGTGTCTCTGGTGTGGAGACCCTTTTCAATTGTTTCTTGCAGCAGAAGGTCATGTTCTGTAAGTGAAGAAGTATAGGTCTCAATAGCTGACAGAGTATGATGGGACACTAAAAGTATGTTGCTCTCATCATAGGGAAGATTTAGAAAACACAGCTGTGTCTAGCCACAACCCAAGAAATTACTGAAGTGGGCATAACTGAGAAATTATATCAACAGCATTGGTTTGTACAAATCAATAGTCCTTACAGCTTCAAATCTGCCAAGGTAATGCTAGATTATTTATTTATTTAACTTATATGCCACCCACACTACCTAAAGGTCTCTGGGCAGCTTGCAGCAATTTAACTACAGTAAAAAAGATAAAATAATTAAAATACAATTAAAATATATACTCTAAAAGTCGCCATCAGGACCCACAGTTGATATTATTTCAATTAAAAGCCTCCTGGAATAGGAAGGTTTTGACCTGGCGCCGAAATGTCACCAGCGTCTGTGCCAGACAACTCTCCTTCGGGAGAGTGTTCCATAGTCTGGGGGCAGCTGCCAAAAAGGCCCTTTATCTACAAGCCATCCCTCTTAACTCTGGTCTGTCCATAGCCTGGGGACAGACAGCTCTTTGAAAAGGACTCCATGGCTAGATCTTAACTGCTGGGTAGGTTCATATGGAAGGAGGCGGTCCTTCAGGTATCCCGGGCCCAAGCCATTTAGGGCTTTATACAGTGGTGCTCCTCATAGTGACGTTAATCCGTTCCGGATAAATCGTTGCTATCCGGAAACGTCGCTATACGGGGAAGAAAACTCCATAGGAACACATTAAACTCTGTTTAATGCGTTCCTATGGGGATAAACTCACCGTTAAGCGAAGATTCCCCATACGGCCTCCATTTTCGCCGCCTCGGTAAGCGAGGAATCGGCGCGAAAACGCTGCGGGCGGCCATTTTCTTCATCCGGCGGCCATTTTGGAACCGCCAATCAGCTGTTCTACGAACATCGCAATGTGAAGATCGGTAAGCGATGTTTCGATCGCAAAATCCGCATCGCAGATTTGTCGTTAAACGGTGTGCTCGTTATACGAGGCACCACTGTATGTAAAAAGTAGCAGTTTGAATTGGGCCCGGGCAGCAACTGGTAGCCAATGTAATAAGCATTTAAAAAGAGGAATTTTTCCATGGATGGTAACAAGGATTGTAAACACTATTGGATCAAATAAGCCATTCTTCCTTGACAAGATGCATATGAATGTCTTTTTATGTATGTGTACCTGGAAAGTGAGCAAATCCTTCTGGATGTCCTAATTTAATCTGAAACTGTCGTGGCTTAAGTATATGTTCACCTAAATTTAAGTCTCTCAATCTTAATTGGTCCTCTGGAGGGGGAAAAAGATTTCATTACTGTAAGACCACTGGAGGCTATTTTGTGGACTCTATAGCTAATATTTTCTATGCCCTTTTGAATAGGATGGTAGCTTTTTCTGCTATAGGCAATGACGTTTGATTGTCATCTGTATAAAAGTCTACAAATGTTCTTTAAACTGTCTGGCATCCCATTTATATAAATAATGTATTCTCCATGTGTTTCTGAGTGGTACATACCAAAGGTTGGGTGGTACCAACATTCTTCACTATGTCTAGGTTGCAAGGTAGGTTCTTCATGATCATTCTTGAACATGGCTTCCACTGAAGTCACAAAACTAGCCTTTCTTTCTACCCTTCTCTCTAAGGTATAACATAATGAAACAAGTCAGGAAATGGATTTTTCCCATCTGTTGTGAAGAAGGCACCTTCCAGCCACCCACCTCTTGGAATCATCTCTGCAGAACCCCTTAGTCATTATTTTGAAGAACTGTTTTTTTTTCTGTTGAAGGTTAATGTTGGTTACCATTCTTGGTTGTTTTGCAACACAATGTTTCTAAGAGTTTTTAAAATTAATCTTGCTGGATAAGATATTTCTATATATTCTCGAAGGCTTTTCATGGCCAGGACCCAATGGTTGTTATAGGTTTTTCAGACTGTTTGGCCGTGTTATGGAGGTTTTTCTTCTTAGTGTTTCACCAGTCTCTGTGCCCGGCGTCTTCAGAGGGCTGGAGTCAGAACTCTGTCTTGTTGGCATGGGGCCAAGACTCCACAGGCATAATGAGGATCTGGCCTCAAGAAAACTTCTTAGAGTCTGGTTGAATGTGAAGCTTGGCAAGAGCACTCGGTTTAAAAGACAAGCCTTGAAACTTAAGGACGCTAGTTATACAGAGCCTCCTATCAGACTGCTTCCAGTCTTCCCACATAACTTTAGCAAAGTAAGAGACTTAGGCATGGGGAGAAAACAACATGAGAAAATTCTTAGTGATTATAATATAGTATATTAGATATGGCTACAAATATATGCACATATACAAGGCATTATACATTTCGCACAACAATATTCAGAGCAATAACATAGAAGTAAATGACCACCAGACTTACTGCTGAGTGGCAAAGGTCTGTTCTGTCTCAGTTACATTTATATCCAGAACAACCTATCACATTGCACCATTTACAGCTGGTCTTACTTAACAATCAAGCATTACATCATCTTGTTACACCTGTATGCTGTAAGTCATTACATTGGCTTTTACCTTACATTTGTGACTCTGCACTTCCATTACAATATTAAAATTTAACTCCCTGTTCACCAAAAGAACAAAATCCTGACAGAGCCGTAGTCCAGGACTGTTATCTTTTGTGTTTGGGGAGAGGGGGGGTGTCTCCAGGCTGGTGGCCCCTTGAGCCCTTCACGTGTTAGTGTTTATGTTGTGCAGGCCGTTCCAGAAGCTCACTGTGTTTGGTTTTTGTGCCCCTGCTCAGAGCGAGACGGGATTCCTCCAGTACCTGGACATCTCCGTGGGGAAGGAGGTTGCTGCCATCTGCACCAAGGGGGGCCGGCTTGGCGTGATGGCCCAGAACCCCTCCAATGCCATCATCCACCTGGGCCATAGCAACGGTAGGCGAGGTCCACCCGTGTTCCCGACCCCTCTCTTTTCTGTGGGGTGTGGGAGAAGCGGAGAGGCC